TCGCCTGTACAAGACTCTACCACCATTCGTCCCGGGGCGGGCCTCTTCCTTTTGCCCCCACCTATCAGGGACTTGAGCTACTGTGGGCCGCAAACCCACTTAAATGGAAAGGGAGAATCGGACACTCCGTAGGGCTGTGCCGTCGGCAACTCTTGTTGGTTGTTATTTGTTGGTTGTGTTGTCGCTGGACCGTTGGACCCTGGTTCCGGTCTGACAGGCACATTGCACTGCACCGTCGTCACCATTTTCTTCTGAAACATTCGACTTTGAATTTGAGTCGCAAGTTTAGCGGTCGTCACTACAGTGACTTTTCTTCTTCTTTCGGCTTTTGGCCGACTTGGGGCTCTTCCACTTGGAGTCCCGGATCCGGGCTGACTTGTCCTTCTTCGTTGGACTGTCGAGTTCTTCTCCGTCGGAGAGCGGTCCCGCGTCTAATATTGGTTCAGCCCGGCCGGCAGCTTGCTCAAGGTCCTTGAGTCGTCTCGAAGCCAGGTAGAATCGGTCGTCGATGCTGTCCCTTGTCTTGGCCAGCGTTTCCAGGGTCGGATTCGCGTCTCGCCGCGCTTCTTTCGCGGCGAGCTTTAGCGAATCCAGCACTTCCGGATCTCGGCCCGGGGACGCATTGGTACTAAAATTCTCAACGAGAACCACACGAGCTGTCAGCTCTTCAAGCGCAGCGTGGAAATCCGATTTTAGCAACTCCTGTTGCTTCTGAAAAATGCCCAGATGTTCGTCGAACTTGCTCTTCGTCTCCTGACGAATTTCCTCGCTCGACTTCTCGCACTTCTCTTCCAGGCCATTTTTCTCAACGGCTGTCCCTGAAGGGGACGCCTCTGTAACTGGATCAGTAGCCGAACTTCCTTGGCTTCGTGTACGAGGTCTTCGCGAAATTCTCGACTGTTGAGCTGATCCAGGTCTTCTGACCCCAGGACCGACGTCCTTGGGTTGGCTTCACGCCATGGTCCGCTCTTAACAAACGAGACCTATCGAAGTAATTTACCTATTTTGGGACTTCTGATTTCAGTTCCAGATTCTAGGTCGGGCTTCGCAGTTTCCAGATTCTAGGTCGGGAGACCACTTATGTAGTGCAATGTGCCTGTCAGGCCGTAACCAGGGTCCAACGGTCCAGCAACAACACAACCAACAAACAACAACCAACAAGAGTTGCCGACGGCACAGACCTACGGAGTGTCCGATTCTCCCTTTCTTTTTAAGTGGGTTTGCGGCCCACAGTACCTCAAATCCCGGATAGGGGGGGCAAAAGGAAGAGGCCCGGCCCCGGATGAATGGTGATAGAGTCTTGTACAGGCAGCTGCTCGGCGAGTTCGGGGCGGTGATTAAGAAGCCAGGCCCGATAGGTCGTAAAGCCAATGCGCGCTGAGCGCCTGGTACACCTTATACCCTTGATAAGGTCTTCGACGGGGGCGTCGCCACGCAACCCAACGAGAATTAGCAAACACATAGCAGCGCTACACCTCCGTATTGCCTGACAGCAAAGTACCGACACCGCAACGGTCGCAACCTGTATCCGATGGAACCAACACTGTCCTGTCTACACAACAGGACCCTAGAGGGAGACGTCGTCGCAACAACCTCCGTCGGGGGACTTAGACAAGTAGCAGCGCTACACCCACGTGTCGCCTGATGGCTAAGACACCTACACCAGTCCGGTCCGAACCAAAGCCGATGGCAGCAACAACAAACAGAAGAACCAACACAAGAGCCCGATGACTCCAGTCGTCGCAATGCAGATCGCAATCAGGCACTGTGGAACCAACACAAAGTAAGGGAATAGCAATAGAGATAGAAATAGAAAAGGATAGGTGAAATAAAGGAAATGGAAAGGGAACCCCCGGGCGCAAAGGATAACGTAATCTGTGGTAAAAGGGAGCGTCTTGGGAAAGACGGACTTCGACCAAGGCGATATTCAACTCTGGCAACTCGGGTTACCTTTACTGACTTGGTGGTCAGCGGGCTAAGGTATATATCGCCCCGCCGGAGCCACTACAGTAGCTCTCGGCGCTAGATCCTAGATCTAATCTAATGTTAAATAACTAATATGCAACTAATTAAAATTAATGATTAAAATAATAAAGTGAAATAATTTTCACTTGTCACTCCCCCACTTTGTCATACCCCTCAATTCATTTTCTTTTCACCCCCTCACGGTGCAGCCAATTATTGCACTACAGGGACCACAGAAGATCAGGAGATAAAGAGAGGAAGTGAGATAGGCAAGGTTGTCTTGTCAGCGGCACAGGTAGAGAGCGGCGAACGCCGCACTCCCAAGAAATGACGGAGTCACTGTAGTCCCCGGTGGAGATAATAAGCAAATTGCGAGTGATCACGCGATGCAGTGGTGCGTTCGAAAATGAGTACGCAAAATGACGTCGAACCGGCGGTCTGCACCAGTGAAGCGTAATTTAATCAAAAAAGGATGGGACGCCAGCGGACTGTCAGACGATCGGCATAAGTCGCAGACGGAACCCCAGACAATCTTCGGAAAATTAACTATAATTAAGGAAAAAGCTCGTACTTGTACGAAAGATTGTTGGCAGCACCCGCAGCCGATCGTTCAAACACTCAAGGCTTCGCACCGGCGAAGTCGCGACCGGTCACATATGGAGGCTCTGCCTACGTTCGTTTACGATGTACTGCCCCGCTCGACGAGCAAGAAGATGAGTCGCCATGGACCGGGACCCCCTGTGTCAATGAATCCGCATGTGATTGCACGAATACGCACAGGCGACGAGGTCTTTTGTCCTCATCTTCAAGGATCTGCTACTGTACAAGATACGTGCCGACGGCAACACCGTGTCGCAAGCCCATGGTATCACGCGAGCAATTGCACGACTGACTTCGTCATCGACGGGAAGATTTTTTTCTGGCTTTGGTTTTGTTTTCTTTGTTATTTTTTTGTGACTTATAGAGCAGGAAACACGAATCGCAGGCCACGACGGACGCGTTTTTGTGACACCCACCGATCAACAACCCAGGTCTAAGGTCCCATGATGAGGTTGAGACGACAATCCGACATAGCGTACATCGCTAAGCAATTCTACAAGGACTACGGAGGAACCAAGAGGAGGTTCATCGAGAAGAGGGGAAGGAATGAGTGGACGACTCGCAACCCGGAAACTGGACCGACGACTTTGAGGTCCACTCAGGAGAGGGGTACCGCTCACTGATTACTTTTCGTCACTTATTCGACGGTACTATTTTTTTAGATATACGCCACGCGCGACGCTGACTATGTTCAACCGAACATGCTCGACGACCGGAAGAATGTTTTCACACGAACAGATGTCAAGCCATCGTCTGGACAACCTGGTGCAATTAGTTATGGAAACTTGCGTAGGAGGGTTTTCCATTCCTGTCCAGAACGACGACCGTTACTTTGGCAAAAGGCCTCTTTGTTTAAGACAACAACAGCAAGACGAGAGAGAATTGGAACGGAGTGTAATTTGTTTTTCATGAGGTGATCGGGAGTCTCGTGACACCGTCCTTCACGGACGCACAGGAGAACCACGGCGGGGAGAGCAACTCTGAAGGAGAGAAAGCGTCGCTCGATGAGCTTGTTACCAATGACCCAGGCGTTGCTTGTAGCAGCTGCCGGCGCTAAGCTCGAATTTTTGTTTTCAACCCCGAGCGACCTACCGTGATGATATCCCTTCCTCTCCTTTCCCGCGTTCATTCATCCGTTTAACCTCCTTTCCTGATTCTTTCTACTTTCCTATTTTTCTGTTTCCTTGTTTTTTATTTTGCTCTCCCTGCTCCTTTGCCTAATTATATTTTTTGCGAAGGCGGAACCTGACGCCGCTTCGACACGCAGGACTCGGAGGCCCAAAACGGATGTTGAGTCTGCAGATAACCTCACGCTGAGGGGAGGAGACGAGAAAGTGAGGTACGACTCCTACGTACGCCGTAAGGACGCGAGACATAATTGGGGGGAACTGTCTTGGCATGACGAAAATCGAGGTCAGCTACGGCGTAGTATCCGACTTGCCCTCCAGGGGACTTGATGCCACCCTGCCGGCTGTGTATCACGAGGAATCATTTTAAGTCGCAAGCTGACGTTCGCTTGAGATAACAGCGATAACAGCTCAGGAAAAGGGGTGACAACCCCGCCTCTGCCACGCACTGCTTTCGCGACGCTCGGGACGAGCGAATTGCCACTGACGGAGCAACAACCATCGTGGTCGAACCTGTAATATCTAATTGAAGGGGATGAAGGACCTCGGCGGTCTTAGGGAAGGACAACATCAGTTGTAGGCGAGCAAGACCCCGGCTGCTATTGGGGCAAGGGATCGATCGATGCTTCGCAAGACGTCGATTTGAACTGGAGAAAGCGGTAAAGGATGATTATGAGGTGAGCCACGGTCCATCATCTGAGACGACGAGTGTACCGGGACCTCGCGGAGAATTTTCAGACGACCAACTGGCTGACGGCGGGGTATGAAGACCGTCGCTGGGTTCGGAGAGTGCAAGATAGTACCTCGACCCGTCAATGAAGCTAGTTACGACAGACCGCAGCGTGACATCCAGTGTAATTTCATAGGCGGATCAAGTCCGATCGTGGACGTGGACGCCGCCGTCACGCTACATTCACTACACGCGTCTAAAGGCCCATACGACAGCCTTCGACAATTGAGCTTACGACGAAGGAAAGATCCGAGTCTATGGAGGGGTTACCTAGCACTACAGGATAAGAGGAAAGCCATGCTCAGGACCTCGAGTGAAGACCAACTGCTTGCTCGACAATGGCGATAGCCAGTGAAATTGAGGAAAATGATATCTCTTTTTGGGGTATATGGAGGGAAATGTGGTTGTCGTTAGGATCGACGAGTGCCAACGAGATGATGGCGACGTCATCATTGGACGGCACAAGGTGGACTCTTTAACCTAGACGCCACGGAGAGTACTTTTCCCAGATCTTCGTCACATTTGCAATATTATCGAAAGGAATAGTCATGGTCCGTACATTTTTTAGTTTGCTTACAATGCATTCGTCTACATTCGGTTCCGCTGGAAACAGGAAAAGGGGTGCTCGCACGGAATTCACCGTCGGTGAAGAGGAGGACACCACCCACCCTGAACAAAGGGCGAAATAATACGAAGTAGAGCTTGAACATTCCAAGAGTGTAATTCTATTTTGCTCAAAACGACACAATTGCGCTCGACGCCATGAGTCCGTCGAAGGAAATGAAGGGCGAAGGGGGCGTTTGACCTTGGAGGGATTGTACAATACACCTAAAAAATTTGTTGTCGTCAGCACTCGGCGAGCTCGACTGAGTGACTGAACCCGGCAATGATTCATATTTATTTTCGTTGCGACATCCCGAATTCATCCGTGTCTCTCAGACGTTAACAATAATGAGCTTCGCAAATGAAGTCCCGAGGCCGCGTGACGTCGTCACAATAACATGGAGCCGTGTGAGACTGAGTTGAGAAAGGATGAGAAAAAGAGAAGGAAAAGAGAAGGATGAGGGGAAAGAAGAAGCTGCGACCGCGGCGACGGGGCGTATGAGAAAACAGGAAGAAAAGTTGAAGGATGAAGGAGTACGCATGGGGGTTTCATTTAGTTTTCCAAGGGACGAGGATGGCGTCGCTAACATAGCGCCACCTCAAGGAGGTACTACGTTGAGAACGGGAAAGTGAGGTTGATTTACGGAGGGGGAGACAAGTGAGGAGTCGAGAGATGACCCTGAGGTCCTCCAACGAAGCCTCTTTAATGGCTGCCGTCGCCACGCCATGAGCCCGCAGAAGGGAAATGTAGACCTCGGAAGTAGGGCAATCCCTTTGGGAATTTTTGGGGAGACGGAGAGGTCGCTTCACGCTACGCTGGTTTGAGGTCACGTTTTGGAGAGAGGAGAAGAGGGGTTGGTTCCCCTCCGTTTTTGGGAATCGCACGGACAGACAGGCTCTCAGTGCCCTCTGGCCTTGGAGATCTCACCTCCAACGAGGACGCTGGGTGAGAGCGCGTACAGGGAGAGATGGCGGAGGATGGACGGGCTGGGACCTCAAGTGGATTAACAGCACAGCTGGTGAGACCGGCTGGACAATGGAGGTTGAGGGAGCCGCGGGTGCTACAGGAGGCGTAGCGAGAGTGACGCGAGAACGCGGAGACGAAGGTGGTGATGGCCTTGTGCAGATATTGGAAACTCGGAGGTCTGTGGGTATAACCTGTTCGGTGACGGGGAGGGGATTTTGATTCCGAAATGGGCGGCTCAGCTGAGCCTCTGCTGCCGAACACAGGTACCCTGACCACGGTTTAAACCAGGCAAAGTCGCTTGCTGCACGGTGAGTCCTTCCGGGGGAAAATGATGGGCGTTGGTGTGAGAAGGAGCGGGAAGAATTTTGACGCGGAATCGCGTCCCAGTTCACGCTCTCTATTTTGTCGAGCAGCGAATGGACTTCGCTATCAACATCCGCACCGCCCAGAGGGACTGTGAAATCGAGCAATCCCATGAGTTCGATGAGTTTGGGAGGCAGAAACCAAAGACGCCAGCAGTCATAGGTTTCCCAGAGTAATGTCGCTGCCACTTAACACACCATTCGGTGAAGAATACGACCCAAAGCCCGTGCCGCGGATCGCAAAGATACCTCCCGTAGTAAGTGAGCACAGGACTAAGCTCAGCCCAAAAACACTGACACAGTTCGAACTGTCCCCACCAAGAAGGGATTTTTTGATAACTATTTGTGTAATGGTCTCGCGCAATTTCTCGCGCCTCTAGCATGTGGTATGCTACGAAGTAGCCGATGTCCGAACGGAGACGACCCTCCGCTCGTACAGTATGTCGGAAAAAGGGAAGGTTCCCACGTTTGAGATGATGGAAATTTTCCGGAATGATGGCTCGCGTCCAGAACATGGCTTCGTTGGTGGCAGTCCGTTGGTTATACTAAAGGCGATTTGCCTCTCTTACGGGATCCCCGGCGGTCCCGTTGATCATGCTGTCTGAGTAAGATCGCTGTCCTTCCGTACGGTACTTCCAGGTGTCACAAAAATAACTGGCAGGTATGAGACCGTCGGTCAGTGGTAATTCGAGGCGATCGCAGACAGCGGACATAAACCGCGCGGAGAGTGAATGACGGCCGTGAGGAGAGGAGCCGGGCAGAATAGAAGGTGGAACCGCGATGTGGGCTCGCCAATCGTAGGAATGGATGGCTATGAGGGGGAGGTGACCGGGTAATATACCAGCGCCGTCGGCAAATTTATTTTCGATATTCATGGTGTCGCGAACGCCAAGATCGCAGAACCAAGGAGCAGCCGCGAACAAGAGGGGATGCTCACGCATGTAATTGTCGTGTAGTTCGGCGAGGGAGGGGTAGCGACGAGGAGAAGGATTAATTTGGGGAGTGGGTTGGAAAATCGGTTGGGAAGGGGATTATGAGGAAGAAGTCGAGGAATGGAAGGAAGACCACGGGAAGCTCGAGGTTGGGAAGGATGGCCAACTACAACGCGCTTGCGGATAACATTCTCGTCCGCGAGCCTTGGCGATACAGGAGGTATGGGGTTGGTCTTGTCCTTGCCCATGGTGACCGTCGGTCAGGAGAAAGCTGAAAAAGAGTTGAGGTGGAAAATGCAGCTAGAGATCAAGGAGCGAAGCAGATGAGCAAGGACGCTCAGGAGGGGTATATGTAGTGCAATAAGGGGTTGCACAAGGGGGTGAGGGGAAAAGAAACTAAGTTGGAATGTAAATACTGTAGTCCGGGATTGGGGGACACACGTGTGAATATTTGCACAGTTTTTATTTTATTTTATTTAGTTAATTAGTTAGCATTAATTTTGCTGGCATTAGATTAGATTTGGGATCTAGCGCGGCGAGCTACTGTAATGGCTCCGGCTGGGCGATATATACCTTAGCCCGCTGACCACCAAGTCAGTAAAGGTAACCCGAGTTGCCAGAGTTGAATATCGCCTTGGTCGAAGTCCGTCTTTCCCAAGGCGCTCCCTTTTACCACAGATTACGTTATCCTTTGCGCCCGTGGTTCCTTTTCCTTTTCCTTTATTTCACCTATCCTTTTCTATTTCTATTTCTATCTCTATTTCTATTCCCTTACCTTGTGTAGGTTCCACAGTGCCTGATTGTGACCTGCATTGTGACGACTGGAGCCATCGGGCTCTTGTGTTGGTTCTTTTGTTTGTTGTTGGTGCCATCGGTTTACGTTGCGACCGGACCGGTGTATGTGTCTTAGCCATCGGGCGACACGTGGGTGTACCGCTGCTACTTGTTTACGTCCCCCGACGGAGACTGTTGCGACGACGTCTCCCTCGAAGGTCCTGTTGTGTATACAGGACAGTGTTGGATCCATCGGATACAGGTTGCGACCGTTGCGGTGTCGGTACTTCGCCATCGGGCGGTACGGAGGTGTAGCGCTGCTACGTGTTTGCAAATTCCCGTCGGGCTGCGTTGCGACGTCCCCGTCGCAGACCTTATCAAGGGTATAAGGTGTACCAGGCGCTCAGCGCGCATTGGCTTTACGACCCATCGGGCCCGGCTTCTTAATCACCGCCCCGAACTCGCCGAGCAGCCGCCTGTACAAGACTCTACCACCATTCGTCCCGGGGCGGGCCTCTTCCTTTTGCCCCCCACCTATCAGAGACTTGAGATACTGTGGGCCGCAAACCCACTTAAAGGGAAAGGGAGAATCGGACACTCCGTAGGGCTGTGCCGTCAGCAACTCTTGTTGGTTGTTGTTTGTTGGTTGTGTTGTTGCTAGACCGTTGGACCCTGGTTCCGGCCGGACAGGCACATTGCACTACATGCAGGTCTCCATCTTGTCCCGTAGCCATTTCCCACACAGCCAAGCCAAGCTCCGTCCACACTCTTGCCGCGTTGATGTACTCCCATTCTTTCGCGGATCGTTGGTCCTTAGACCGCAGCTCGGAGAGGAATGCATCTGCAGAGGGCTTAAAGTACCCCATATGGGTTACCGGCACTTGCGGCCGCCTTTCAAACACACTCCCCTCGCCAACCAACTTGAAAGAATTCAATTCCATGACGACAGCGCCGTAATCACGACGTTCCGGCTTTGCAGTCGCCCACGCGGCCTGCACCGCCACCCCCGCCGTAGGCGGGAGCCCGCCGTCGTTGTTGTCGGCCATTGGATTCTCTTTAGCACGCTGTGTGTGCTACGCAGAGTGTGTCACCGCCCGAGGAGTGCAGGGGGAATTTCTCAGAAAGAGAAATAGACATGCCTCAGAACGGAGACAGTGACCTCGGAGAAGGGCTTATAAGTGGAACGGCGACGGCGACGCTCGGCATACTGTCATTACACTGTCAAGGCCGCTCGCTACTCCCCGGATGATTCTTCACCCGCATACACATACTGTGTACACTGACGCAAAACCATTTTTGTGACCGTTGCTTTAAAAACAGAATATTTGATTTCGTTTATATTTATGAGGGGTCCCATGATGCGCTTGGAGTTGATACTTGCTTCTATCAAGGTGTTAAGACACGCGCGGGAGTGTTTCTAAAATGAGTTTCACCGTCTCGTGGACTAGCCTACGTTGCATTATTCATCAAGGAGTTGCTTCTAGGAGGTCCCTTCTATCAAGGGTTCACTAGGTCTCTTAACCAAAGACCGATATATACACAAAAAACTGTGTAAATTCACAAATTCTTCGTTTTTTCCCAGGTTTATTTACAGTAGAGAAAACTAAAAGCAACTGGGCACAAACAGAGACGTCAAGGAAATGAAACTCCGGCTATTGTAAACACGGTACACCTGAGCAAGGCCTCGGTATATACTTGGTAGGTCAATGGTAGCGACGACACACAGCGATCCACACCGACTCAAGAGCTTCTGGACCATATTTGCAAGGCACGCCTCCCCTCCGGCGCCTCGCTCCACATCGTCCTTGCTTTCGTCGTCCGCGACGGCCGCTGGGGGGGTTTGGGGGCTGGTCGTTGGCGGAAGAGTCGTCGTCCTCGTTGCCGTTGGCGCAACAGACCCTTGAGTTGGCGGCACCGGGCGTGCGGACGGGCACAGTGCGAAAGGGTAGTCGCGCGGATCGGAGCGTTTGACGTGAAGAAGAAGGCTCCAAAACGGTTTTTGCCAGAAGCGGAAACAAGACGGAAACGCTGCCCATATGGTACGGTGTGAT